TGTTGAGGATTTAATTTTTTGACAAATGAAACATAGGTAAAACAGTATATCCCATTTAGGAAATGTCGTCCTTGAGGGTTAAAAACTATTGTGCAAACGTAGTAAGCAATTATGAATATTGTCAGAAAAATGAAGCTGAGGTTTTTGGTTTTTTTAAGAATACATTAGTATCTGAAAAAGCTTTATGCTGGTTTATTTCAATATATTGTTGCTGATCACAGTTAAGATTGCAGCTGTATGTGCCCTAATAAATGCTCCCGCTTCTGAATGGGTTCATTTCTCAGGATAATTAGCTGTGTGGGAAATATTAACTCAGGCAGTGTCATGCTAGCATAGTTACACTGCTTCTGGTAACTAGATTAGATTGGGTGTTATTATGTGAAACTAGTGGTACCATACAGACATCTTAAATTCTCTGTCATCAAGATCCAGTTGGACTAGATAATCTCTCTGTGAGCATGTGTTTGCAAAAAATATCTGTATTTATGTATTTATTAGGCATTGAAAATTCATTAGGTTTTCTGGGATTCACAAGTCCATATTCTGTCACCTCATTTGTATTAATCTTTAAAAATACTGTTGCCACTCTTTGCTTTACCAAAACCTTAAATAAAGTAACTTTCATTGAATGAAAATCTTAGTTTAGAACCATGAGATATTTGCAGGTTTTGAAGTGGGGTTGATAAATGCAGTGTTAACGATCTGACAAATACAAGCTTAAGGGTAAGATTTTTTTCTAAATAGAACCATCTTTTGAATTTCTTTTGTTAATGTTAATTGATATTTCATGTTCAGGGAAGGTTAGCATTGGCAGCCTGGGATCCTTTGCTTTCTTTCTGTTTGTGACTGTGGTGCTGATAGCCTGACTATGAACTTCCTTGTGCAGGGCTGCTCGTAACTTCCAGTCTGATAGATGAGTATTTCTAGAAATGGGAAGTAATTGAATCTCAGTGCTTACAAATGCCTTGTGTGCTTTCTGGAAAGAGACCACCAGCTGTGTTGTGTTGAATTAATGGTACTTATTTCAGTCATGTGTGTGTCTGTCCAGTGAGAACAGAAAATAGCATTTTCGTTTCAGGGATGTCTGTGGGTTGATTTTTAACTCATTGGAAGCAGGATAGTTAAAGCACTAAAACTCTACCTCTATTTTTACTAGATTGTCAGTCCAGAATTGAAAGAAGTGTATTCCTAATGCCTGTATAGCTTCCACTGTAATGCTGTGCAGATTTTCCAGCTGAAATACCTCGATCCTTAACTTGCACCTTATGTTCAAGGACTCCATGAGGAACTCTGCTATATAGATTTGAGATTGTGATGTTTCTGGTACTTTTTCTAGGACAAGCACAGTTTGTGCTGTTCTGTGAAGTGGTAAAGAAGTTGTTCTTCTTCTAAAGAAGCCCCACAGTACATGTGGATATTGCAGATCTCAGAAGGCTTTTGGGATTATGCCAAAAAAGTCCAACAGTATTGTTTGTTCAGTGACAGAACTGAGCGCAACTGCTAAATTGTTATGTGTATCAGGGCCAAAATGAGATGAAGCCTTTTAGCTTAATGGGCTAACATCTCCTAAATGTATTTCTTCAAAGACTGATAAAGGGACAAGGAGGTGCCAGTGCTTTGGCCAGATGTGGACATAGCTGTATGTGATCAAAGCAGGAAAGCTGCACAACTGTGTGCCTGAACCGTTCACATGCAGAGCCAACTTGTACTCATGGAGACTTGGGCTCCATTATACCCCATGTTTCTTCCCCTTCTGCCTTCTCAGCAGAAATGCATTTAGACCAATTACTTCAGTGTTACTCTCTGTCAAAAAATAGTACATTGACAATCATGATGACTGTATTGGGAGATTCAGCTGTCTCCTTTCGTAGGATAAACCATATAGTTTGCTTCTAAAAGACTTGTCTTTGCAATCAAAAGTTCAAGCACCTGAAGGTTGTTTACTGGGAATACTGTGCTTCTGTGAACAATCTAGACAACGTACAGTTATTGTGATTTTATTGCAGCTTCTTCAACAAAATAGCTTTGTTCTTAAGGCTAAATTCAAACTGAGATGTGAAACATCCATGTCGGCTGGCTGGAAGTGGCAATTTGGAGCTATGCAACCCATTGTGTGCATTTTAAGATATCTATAATGCAATAATAATATCTGTTTTTTGCCCTGTATGCATACAAATATTGTGTATACACATCTTAGCAGTCCATTACAGTGTTTTCTTAAAGTTCAGTACAATTAGATTTTGTTTAATGTGTGCTGTTTCATGCCAGAACAAATGACTACAGATTATTCAATTGTACATGGTGGAAAATGGTTCAGAAGTGTCAGTTTGGAGGTTTTGGTAAAAATACAGGTTTTGTAGGTGAAAAGTCATCTCTAACACAACATCCTTCATAATTGCTTTGGGGATGTAAAGCTCAGCATTATAACTAGGTCTTTATTCATATTGGATTTAGTATTTTTAGAGTAGTTTTAAAAATATCTGTAAAAATACCCAATATGTTTGCTCTGCCAAACATACCTGCTGATCCTAGTTTATTTGTTGCCTCTTATGGAAGTAACTTAAGCTTGTTCTTGATCTACAGGCTGCTAATAGAATCATAATGCACTTCTAAACCGTGCAACTCTTAAATGGTCATAACAAATTCTTCTCTCAATTGTATCTGGATACTACACTTTATTGCACAGTGAATGCTATTTGACAGTACTCAGTGTTTTGAGGAGGATTAAAAAAAGTGAGGCAGGTTTCTGTGTCATATAGTCTCTTACTGCATCTGTTATGTGAGGATTGCCATTTTGAACAGCTTGTGTATGGTTAGCTGATACTGTGATATTTTTTCTCTTGCTCCCTTTGTGCATAGTATTATGTATTTCTTTAATATGATGAATTATAGCAGCTGTCTTGCAATCCTTGTATTATAGAAGTTACATGGGACATAAGCATATTTGGACACTTAGTTATGCCTGACCCAGATGATGTAAAAACAGGGAAAAATGAATTCTATCAAGTCAGTTGAAGATCATGCAAAATAGAAAGTAGATCTTTATTATGCAGAAACCATTACAGGAAAAACACAACTTATATATACATACATTTTGATATGTTCAGCTGCTGAAAAACCACCAGATACAATGTAAGCATGTTGAAAAGCTGAACGGTCCGCTCTT